TTTGGTTTGTTTAGACCTGTTTGAATTGATGGATTTAATTGGGTTTTGCAGTCCAATGGGTTTTGCATTTAGGATTGGAATTTCTTTTCTTCATTCTATCATATGTTTGAAATTTAACCCAATCCGTTATTTATCAGGGGATGTGGGGATTTAGTGGCCTAGTTGTAAGGTTGCATTTGATGTCTAGAAACTACCCATTTAACCCCATTTTTTGTTGTTATCAATTGGTAATATTTGATACATGACTTCAGATTTTTAGTTTATTTTTAACCGAATAGTATGCACATACTCCATGTGGTAGCCATACATTTGTGTGGTATGCATTTGCTTTTTCTATTGTTTTCATTAGGCTTGAATTGATCAAGGGTAGCATGGTTATATTAAGGTTGTATAGTTTGATTTTTAAATTGGGATTTTTCATAGGATTTTGATAATAGTATTTTTTATTGAATGCTATAGTTGTTAATTGTATTAAATTGGATGTTATTTTTTAACATAGGGTTTTCGAATTGGAAGTTAGGTTTACGATTGAATGTTAGGGTTATTTTGATTGAAATGAGTGTTAACATAGGTTTATAGTTATGATGAAATAGATTTTTTTATTATGAATTGGTTATTATTAAGTTATGGATGTTGAGTTGGTTATTATTATGTGTTCATTTTGTGAAATTGGTAGGCTAATTTAGGTTGTCATTTTGTGTATGTATTAGGTTTGATTAAATGCATGTTAATTGTATGAATTTTTATTGTAATTGAAGTTAATTTCATAGTTGAAATTTCATTGTAATTGATGTTAATTTCATAGTAAATAAGTTGAAATTTACTGTGTAGTCACCACCGTTTCAACTGCACAATCATCGATCGATGAATGATATTATTATTTTTGGCTTTGTCAATTTATCATTTGATTAACTCTCTCTAAACATCTTTTATTGATTTTTTTAATAACTTATTTATTTTAATTTATCTTCATTAATGTCGTGACAGATGGACGACGATCTAGAAAATATCGTATGATAAGTTTTTCTTACTCATCATTTTATTACTTTTTTTCTAATTTTTTTACCCCGCTTATTTACTATTCATTTATTTTTTAGATAATTCAGGGTAATGAAATTGATGACAATAATTATGTTGAATCCAACTAACAAAAAAAGTAAGGGGTCTTATGTTTCTTATTTACAATTATTTTATTTTGTCTCACATATTTCAATAATTTATATATTTTAAATATTTTTAGGTATCCATTGAAGGATACTTAGGGTAAGCTATAAAGGAGATGAAGTTGTTTTTCTATTTATGCATGTGTATATTTTTTGAAGCAATATTATTGGGACCTAATTCACTATGAACATTGTATTGATTGTAGGTTCCATCAAACATTGAAACTTGNTATTTATGCATGTGTATATTTTTTGAAGCAATATTATTGGGACCTAATTCACTATGAACATTGTATTGATTGTAGGTTCCATCAAACATTGAAACTTGATGTTAATCCAATGGTTTCAATGAAACCACGTCATTAGGTCAGTAAATTATGTTAGATTTTTAGGTCCAAATAGGATTTTCCTATTTTTTGTGTTCCGTCTTTTGTATNATTGAAACTTGGTGTTAATCCAATGGTTTCAATGAAACCACGTCATTAGGTCAGTAAATTATATTAGATTTTTAGGTCCAAATAGGATTTTCCTATTTTTTGTGTTCCGTCTTTTGTATAGTAAACCAATTATACATGGTTATGATGGTTTTAGATATAGAATGATGGTTGTTTTGGTGGTTGGGTATGTATTGATGATTGTGGTGATATGGTATATTATAATGATTGTAAGTATTATAGACAAGTTTAGATTTTTCTAGGCTTCTATTTTTAAAGGAAATTTTACAGAAATTTTTTGAAATTAGTAAGAACTAGTTTGATGTTTTGGTGGTTGGATATGTGTTGATAATTGGATATGTATTAATTATTGTGCTGGTATGGTGAATTATGATGATTATTATGTCCAATTGTAAGTTTTATAGACATGTTGTTTTAGGCTGTAAAGAGTCTATAGGTAATATAATATTTTTCGAGTTTTAATCTATTCGTCTCTATTTATGCATTGTACGAGGGGCGAACCTGTATTGTCATGCGTGTTGTATTTTTGAATTGTTTAAATGATATCGTATCAATTTTTTTCCAATATATACCCGGCTCCTTTTTAATTGTGTAGAGCGACATTAGTGTTGAGCTTGAGTTGGATATAAGTGTGTTTAACTTTTTTTATCGTCCAATTTATTTAACATATTTAACAAATTCATCTGTTTACATACAAATTCGCTATAATAAACTTGAATTTGTTGCTCCGTAATGATTCTGTCAATTCGCAGGTCGTATCTAATGTTGTCGGTGTTTTGAGNGTTGCTCCGTAATGATTCTGTCAATTCGCAGGTCGTATCTAATGTTGTCGGTGTTTTCGAATNAACAAATTCATCTGTTTACATACAAATTCGCTATAATAAACTTGAATTTGTTGCTCCGTAATGATTCTGTCAATTCGCAGGTCGTATCTAATGTTGTCGGTGTTTTGAGTGGTCATGAAGCATAACCATGGAGTATAGTTTTCATAGGTGGGCCTTGGGTAGATATCAGCATGAAAGAGAAATGTGCCATTACCATCTACAAACTCTCTTCTACCAATTCTTGTGGTGACTTTTCTTTTTAGTAACTAATGCTTTTGGTGAATTCCTCAGGGCAATAATACAGCATTGTCATCAAAACCACATACACCAGAACACAATCTGCAAACGAATAGGTAATCTAAACTTAAGTAACTAGTGGCACGGATACGCGCTAGGCCTCCGCATGAAATGGTTTTCTTTTTTAATAGGGTGTCTAGGCTTGCATCACATTCGAATTTAGCGACTGCTACCGTAACCGTAACTTGAATTAGGTTAGAGCATATCCCCAAGGAACAAGGGTGGCTGACCCTTAGGGAGTGTGGGAAGTAATTGAACATAGGACTTCTGAGTTACCAAAGATTAAATTCAACTACTGAACCACCTCTAAGAGTTGCATATGANCCCTTAGGGAGTGTGAGAAGTAATTGAACCTAAGACTTCTGAGTTACCAAAGATTAAATTCAACTACTGAACCATCTCTAAGAGTTGCATATGAAATGATTGAATGCAAGTTCCGGTTAATGTTGATCTTCATTAAGTCAAGGGTATAAGTGTCCTTTCCCGACATGAGATAAGGAAATAATTATCCTTTTTATTTTATAGAAAAAGGGTAAATTGCCCTTTTTACTGTCATCATTTTTTTAACTTTGTCCCCTCAACTATCAAATTTCTTACATTACACCATCAATTATGTTATTAGTTTCACATTGCCTCACTTATTATCATCTATTATATATTTAACCAAAATTTATTTCATTTTGCCCATAAACTATATAAGTAGGGCTGTTAAAATTTGACACGACACGATTAACCGACACGAATTAAGCGAGTTTGGGTGAGATCTTAACAGGTTTGGGAGATAAACGGGTTGACACACCAAACACGTTTAATAAACTGGTCGTGTTCGGGTGAGACTTGTTAAACCGATTATCACACGTTTATCTGTTTAAATAAAATTAATATAATAATAAATTAATAATTATTTTAAAAAATTAGCAAGAAAAAAAAAAGTAAAGAAATCAATAATTAAAAAAAAAAAGTAAAGTAGTAGTTCAAAAACAAAAGAGAAGAGATGAGGAGCACTTCAAAAACAAAGGCAAACCAATGTCTTTGGTTTTTGTCCCACATTGAAAAATAAGGGGAGATGAGGAAGGTTGAGTTGTTTATAAAAAGCAATGGTCTTTTGTTTTTTTTTTTTCTAAGTCTTTAAATCTTATTTTTATGAGATTTGACTAAAAATTCCTCTTTTTTGAGGTAACTGCAATTGAAAAAAAAAAAGTAGAGCATTAAAATTTGTTAATATAATTTTTTTAAAATTAAACGGGTTAAACGAGTCGTGACGTGTTCGTGTTGAGATTTTTTACCCGTTTATTAAACATGTCTTGTATGGGTTTATATATTTTTCATCCGTTTAACCCGACGCGTTTGACACCCCTTATATATAAGTTTTTTTACTTTACCCTGACGCGTCAGTGATTTCTGTTAAAAAAAATAAAAAATATTTGTAATTGGAGCAATGTAAAATAAAAGTGTTAGTTGAGGGTGTAATATAAGAAATCTAGTAGGAGACAAAATAAAGAAAGGGTGATAGAAAAGAAGAAGATACAAGCGATGAGCAAACAGCACCCCGTGAATTAGTCAACATATGGAAAAGCAACCCAACCCAATTATTATTGGAAAATATTTAGTGAGGCAATGCACAAGAATAAACCGGAAAGCTCCATAATCGGAATTGTATTAAGATCAAATTTGGATCAAAACTCAATCCATTAATGATACTATGTATAACTGATAACTTAGCTAGCTTTCTTTGAAAAATCGAGAGATTTTTTAATTTTTAAGCTTAAAAGGTTTGTAACCATGTGAATTACTTCAGCGTTTTATTTTTTTTGTTAGATAGTTTGTTAATGTTGCTATTCATAGAGTACAATAGAAGTCTAGGATTCATACAATGGGCCTTAAAAAAATTAGAATACAATTTTGTTGAACTGACTAGCTTGTCCAAACCTTTGTTTGTTGAATTGAATTGATTTGAGTTGAGATAGATTGTTCATACCCTTCTTATTAAATGATCTTAGCAACTCGAGCTTGACTCTATTCGGCGTTGTTGATTCATTGGGCTCATTCAAATTGTAGAATAAATTGAATTTAATCAAATTGTCAATCCAAATAATGTGCAACTCAACTCCGCTCAAATATATCCTTGCCCATAAACAATTCTAATTTTAATATAATTTTTGAGAAATTGATAATTTAGGATTGATGATTATTTTTTACGGTTTAATTTCTAAAAAATATTATTATTAATAAAAAAATTAAGCATGATTTTAACTAGAAATGCTCGTAAACTTGTGTCAAGCTGAGTTTGAACAAAAATTTAAAATCAAGTCAAGCTTATACTGCGTCAATCTAACCAACTTAAGGTATATTTGAACCCAACAGGCCCAACTTGATTAAAACCCCTACCCAATAGGCAGATGAGCCCAACACCAGTGGGGCTCAAACCCTGCCCTCCCTTCCCTATATGGAGAAGCAGTTGGTCAAAGCTCAACGTCTTCAGTCTGAAAAAACAACATAGCTCCAATAAAAACCATATGGATTTGCCTGAAGAAAACCGTAGGAAGTTCAAAAACAAGCAATACCTCCATTCTGTATTGGTTATAACTGGTTGAAATGCTTAACATAAAAGTTCAAAAACAAGCATTATCTCCATTCTGTATTGGTTATAACTGGTTCAAATGCTTAACATGATATTGTGCTAAAAGCTCTCACCAGCCCTCCATAATATTATGCTTAACATAATATGGCCTATAAAATATCAAATTCGATACATGCAAATCATAAAAATGCATTCCTTTTCCTGAAATTGTAAAGTCCTCAAGGATAATTACATTAAAAACCTACAATTAAAGTTGCTAAAAGCGAGGATGGACTGACTAGACATTCGAACACGACCATTTTGATATGTTATGAAAAGACCAGGCAAAAAAAGATCATACCTAGGCTCCCACCTCATCCTCATTTTGAAGAGTCTGATTCCAAATTCCCACCAACAACATATCACTTGGACAAATGAGAACCAACCATCACCCACCTACAAAACCTGAGTATACTCAACAAAAAATTCAGTAATCTTCACTCCATGACGAATAGAGTGCTGATGACATTCTTAACAGGTTCCCTCTGGCTGCAATGCATCTGCACCTACCCCTCCAGATCAAGTATCCACATATCACACGTATCTCAACAAGAAGGTACAACCAGAAAAGCAAAAATTCACATGTACATCCTCAATCAGTTTATGCATATTTGCGTACATCCATCAGTTTATGCATATATCCATGCATCCAATACTGTATATGATCATGAAATCCCTAATTACTCAACCAGTTCCAATCAAATGCATCTTTGATAGACAACTGACAACAATCAATTCAAGCCAAATAATCAAATACTAACCAGCAATTATCCAATGTTGGTTCCTGCAAAATAGAGCATACACGAGTAACTACACTGGATACGTACCTAAACTTTAGCACTATCAACCTGAATAACCAATATTCTAACTTGTGATAGCCAAAGCTAATGTGCCATAGCTGTACTTGGACTTTGGTAATAATACTACTCAAAATCTCCAATGGCTAAAATATCATTGCATGAGAGCAATTTCACCTATTACCAATTTCATCTACCAAATAAATGTATAAAACATATAAGAGGTATGGTGATGCAGATCCCAAGCAATGACAATCAGCTCAAGTACCCTTTGACCTCAACAATATCATTAATTGGTTAATGGGTGGAGAGAGAGACATAAAGCACCTCGATTTATGTGTTTGTTCATGTACTTTTGTAAGCGTATACACCTACCACAGGTCATGGAAGATTTAGAATCTTTACATGTAACACCTGTATTTTGCCATTAAGAATGTAAAAATCTTGCACAGAAACCACAATATAAATATTTGATGCTGATAAAATATCCTGAAACATCCATCTGAGAGAGAGAGATGTCAATTGACACTCTTGCAATGGCTGGTGCCGACTGTATGAAATGCAGTATCAACTACAGACTTGGAGATGACACCAGAATACCTACTGGCTGATCAAAATGACAGAGAAAGAAAGGAAATAACCAATCTGATGATTCAAGAACAGCTCTCAAAGGCAGATATGATGGATTGGGCTGAAGACATTGCTTCTCCTAGAACAGTGCCATGGCCATACAAGCAAGCCATAGAACCCTTAAACGTCCACTTGGCTCCTTGAAAACATGGTAAGAAGGGTCAGGAAACTCTTCAATTTGAAAGGCAACCTTTTCAAGGCTGTCTCATTGCATAAGATGTCTAAGCAATGTAATCAGTCAGTACCAAATAACACAGCCATAAAGCTGGAAGTCAACAAAAAAAAAAAGTTGGTCATGTAAAATGTGCTTGGATGTAAATTATAATCAGCTAGAAAACTATTTCGAATATCTGTAACTATCAAAAGAATCGAAAAGGAAAAAAACACAAAAAATTAGTCTTAATCAATGTTTGAGCCCTTGAAATTTCACAACAAATAAATTGAGGGCGCAACAAACTAAAGTGAGATGTCAAATTTTTTTCAAGGCTTCATTGCATGATAGAGGATCTGTGTACACTGACACATAAGATAAATTTTGATCTACAAATGAATGAAGAAACAGATGCAGCTTCACAAGATCACAAAACGAGAAGTCAAATCCTAAGTTTATCTTGGATATTAAAAACTTTACTCAGTGACAGACTATTGGCAGCTGTTGCAGATGTCGAACATACCAATAACAAAAGAAATCATTATATAAAAATAGAAATTATTATTGATTATGGGTCTGCTAATGCATGCCAAAATTAACAAAAAAATTATATGGGAAAAACAAGAATAAGATGAAGAGCTGGTCCCAGAAATGCATCCAATACAACAACATGAAAGTATGCTTATAGGATATGCTATCTCATTGATTAGGCCAATGTATTACAGGATTTACATGTTGAGACATTTTATTACCTCATCTTCCACCAGACAATTCAACAGCCACCTGGTTATAAATAGAATCTTCTCCCCAGTCAAATCTTCTCTGTAATCTCTCATACTCTTGCCTACGGGTAACTTCAACATGCTGCCATTCTTCCCACCTCTCAGCAAGACCCTCTCCTTCTAGCATCCGGACCACATCTGACATCGCCGGCCGGTCCTCTGGTGATGCTTGAGTGCAGAGCAATGCAACCTGAATCATCATCTCAACTTCTTCGATGTTGAAATTGTCATTCAGATTGCAGTCTACAATAGCATCTAGTCTTTTCTCCCTTTGCACTTTCTTGACCTTCAAGCAGACAGGTGGGATAATTAAGTGTCGATATCAGACAACGGGGCACATAACCAAGAAATAAGACAAGGATGAAAAAAAATATAAAAGGAATTTGGTAACACCACAAAAACAAAAATATAGTGTCAAGTTTCTAAAGCATCAGAGACAAAAGTCTGAACTCAACAAAGCCTTATCTCAACTATTTGGGGTCGCCTATATGGATCATGTTCCACCACAGAGATCGATCCAAGGAACCCACACTCAAGGCATCTCATCATAGTTAAATCCCTCTATGTATGATATCATTTGTAAGCACATTTAGAATGATGCAAAGCCATCGAATATGTTATTCATGACATCAATTAGGACAGGGACAAGTGACTGGCTGTAAAAGGTGAAATAAGAGCCAGAGAGCACACTCTTGCGGTCTTTGTTGCACCGAAGATCGTAGAATTTATAGACAAGCTGTTTCAGGAAAGCATAGGAAAATCTACATATGCTTTCATCAATATATCAATGCACTCCGGTAGCGGTTAATGTATAAATCACTAGAGGCCCACTTCACCGCCAAAGTTAAAAAGTTTCATATCTTCCAGAGTAAAAGTGACACTGCAGTTGTGACTCCGACTCTGCAACATTTACACATGCACACACGCATGCTGATACAGACACAAATGTCTCTTTATTTGTGTGTGTGTGCGCGTGTGTGTGTGTGTGTGTTTTTTTTTTTATTGGGGGGGGGGTTGCATGTACATGTTTAGAGAGAGGGAGAGGGAGAGGGAGAGAAGGTACGCATAAAGAAAGACAGTAGTCACAGNAGGGTGGAGAGAGAGACATAAAGCACCTCGATTTATGTGTTTGTTCATGTACTTTTGTAAGCGTATACACCTACCACAGGTCATGGAAGATTTAGAATCTTTACATGTAACACCTGTATTTTGCCATTAAGAATGTAAAAATCTTGCACAGAAACCACAATATAAATATTTGATGCTGATAAAATATCCTGAAACATCCATCTGAGAGAGAGAGATGTCAATTGACACTCTTGCAATGGCTGGTGCCGACTGTATGAAATGCAGTATCAACTACAGACTTGGAGATGACACCAGAATACCTACTGGCTGATCAAAATGACAGAGAAAGAAAGGAAATAACCAATCTGATGATTCAAGAACAGCTCTCAAAGGCACATATGATGGATTGGGCTGAAGACATTGCTTCTCCTAGAACAGTGCCATGGCCATACAAGCAAGCCATAGAACCCTTAAACGTCCACTTGGCTCCTTGAAAACATGGTAAGAAGGGTCAGGAAACTCTTCAATTTGAAAGGCAACCTTTTCAAGGCTGTCTCATTGCATAAGATGTCTAAGCAATGTAATCAGTCAGTACCAAATAACACAGCCATAAAGCTGGAAGTCAANGAAAGGCAACCTTTTCAAGGCTGTCTCATTGCATAAGATGTCTAAGCAATGTAATCAGTCAGTACCAAATAACACAGCCATAAAGCTGGAAGTCAACAAAAAAAAAAAGTTGGTCATGTAAAATGTGCTTGGATGTAAATTATAATCAGCTAGAAAACTATTTCGAATATCTGTAACTATCAAAAGAATCGAAAAGGAAAAAAACACAAAAAATTAGTCTTAATCAATGTTTGAGCCCTTGAAATTTCACAACAAATAAATTGAGGGCGCAACAAACTAAAGTGAGATGTCAAATTTTTTTCAAGGCTTCATTGCATGATAGAGGATCTGTGTACACTGACACATAAGATAAATTTTGATCTACAAATGAATGAAGAAACAGATGCAGCTTCACAAGATCACAAAACGAGAAGTCAAATCCTAAGTTTATCTTGGATATTAAAAACTTTACTCAGTGACAGACTATTGGCAGCTGTTGCAGATGTCGAACATACCAATAACAAAAGAAATCATTATATAAAAATAGAAATTATTATTGATTATGGGTCTGCTAATGCATGCCAAAATTAACAAAAAAATTATATGGGAAAAACAAGAATAAGATGAAGAGCTGGTCCCAGAAATGCATCCAATACAACAACATGAAAGTATGCTTATAGGATATGCTATCTCATTGATTAGGCCAATGTATTACAGGATTTACATGTTGAGACATTTTATTACCTCATCTTCCACCAGACAATTCAACAGCCACCTGGTTATAAATAGAATCTTCTCCCCAGTCAAATCTTCTCTGTAATCTCTCATACTCTTGCCTACGGGTAACTTCAACATGCTGCCATTCTTCCCACCTCTCAGCAAGACCCTCTCCTTCTAGCATCCGGACCACATCTGACATCGCCGGCCGGTCCTCTGGTGATGCTTGAGTGCAGAGCAATGCAACCTGAATCATCATCTCAACTTCTTCGATGTTGAAATTGTCATTCAGATTGCAGTCTACAATAGCATCTAGTATTTTCTCCCTTTGCACTTTCTTGACCTTCAAGCAGACAGGTGGGATAATTAAGTGTCGATATCAGACAACGGGGCACATAACCAAGAAATAAGACAAGGATGAAAAAAAATATAAAAGGAATTTGGTAACACCACAAAAACAAAAATATAGTGTCAAGTTTCTAAAGCATCAGAGACAAAAGTCTGAACTCAACAAAGCCTTATCTCAACTATTTGGGGTCGCCTATATGGATCATGTTCCACCACAGAGATCGATCCAAGGAACCCACACTCAAGGCATCTCATCATAGTTAAATCCCTCTATGTATGATATCATTTGTAAGCACATTTAGAATGATGCAAAGCCATCGAATATGTTATTCATGACATCAATTAGGACAGGGACAAGTGACTGGCTGTAAAAGGTGAAATAAGAGCCAGAGAGCACACTCTTGCGGTCTTTGTTGCACCGAAGATCGTAGAATTTATAGACAAGCTGTTTCAGGAAAGCATAGGAAAATCTACATATGCTTTCATCAATATATCAATGCACTCCGGTAGCGGTTAATGTATAAATCACTAGAGGCCCACTTCACCGCCAAAGTTAAAAAGTTTCATATCTTCCAGAGTAAAAGTGACACTGCAGTTGTGACTCCGACTCTGCAACATTTACACATGCACACACGCATGCTGATACAGACACAAATGTCTCTTTATTTGTGTGTGTGTGCGCGTGTGTGTGTGTGTGTGTTTTTTTTTTTATTGGGGGGGGGGTTGCATGTACATGTTTAGAGAGAGGGAGAGGGAGAGGGAGAGAAGGTACGCATAAAGAAAGACAGTAGTCACAGTACATATCAAGGTCATCTTACATGATCAAGTAATAAGACATCATCTTCTTCTTCCAGGCGTGAAAAGTCTATGGCTCGTTGGCCTGTTACAAGCTCTAGAAGCATAATTCCATATCCAAAAACATCTGTCCTTTCTGATGACTTCCCAGTTGACAAGTACTCTGGAGCTATGTGACCCATGGTTCCACGAACTTGAGTCGTAACGTTAGTCTTTCTCACATCAACCAATTTTGCCAAGCCAAAGTCACCAACAACAGCTTCGAAATCTTCATCCAGCATCACATTAGCAGCCTTAACATCTCGATGGATGATTTTGGGATTACAATGTTCATGAAGATACTCTAGACCACGTGCTGTGCCTAAAGCCACTCGTTTTCTTGTAGGCCAGTCTAAAACAGCCTCCCCTGGTTTAAATTCTGCATAAATGTGAAAAAACAGTAAATGATTACAAGTAAAGCAACTGAAAATAAACATAGCATGATTCACACATGAAAAGTATGTAAATTGAACAAATCCTGAAAAATCCTATTAAGATAATGGGCGGAGTCCATGACCCCACAACTTGGTACAATTTTTGTGAACATGTTTGGCTCTATAGCATTTACAAGTCCAGGATGAGTTAACAAGATCTGGACAAGAGCACTTAGATGATGGTGAGAATGACATGAAAGCTTGCAATACTCTTCAATCAATATATTTCAACCTTTTGCTTTAGTATATTATAGAAAATACTAGCACAACCGATTTGAAATACTCTTTTGCTACTTGGATAAGAAACACAATCAACCCCAAGGTAGACTTAAATACACTCCGCCCACACTGGCACCAAGGTTTTTCCTGACCTCAGGTCTAAGAAATCATGCACTAGTTCAAAAGGGAATTATGCCTTTCCATCATCATAACTTGCACAGATTTTACATGCTTGATTGGCATATTTTAAGGGTGTTCTTATCACCATATATGTATTTATTGGTTCTAACATGCATTACCTACTAATCTTACCCATGCATTAATGTTATTCTCACTCTTTCCTTTTGTTTAAAGTCATATATCCAAGAAAGAGTAAACAGATAAGCAGCAGAAAATTGGGCAAATTGATTTGGCATAGCAAATAAAGAAAGATATCACCCTGGCATAAATATAGTACTGAGTGTGTGAATAAAAGCACCAGCTTTTTTGAAGAAAGGACCCTCAATTTGACTTTTAATTTGACAAATGCCATAGTCGATTAAGTTATTACTTTGAATCCACCGAGTGAATTAATATTGTAGCTGTTGTTAAAGCTTCTACTTGACTTTCTATTGAGGCTGTTAAGAGAGTTAGGGTATTACATAAATATTAGTTAGTTGTAATAAGTATACCACTAGAGGGTATACACGTTTTTTGTATGGTTACGAGTTAAATATAAATACAAGTGGTTTGTGAGATGTAAGTCAAGTTTTCGACCAACCTCCTTCTTTCTCTAATATTGTGTTAACTCTCTAAACCTAACATAGTATCAGAGCAACATTAATCATTTGAAAGACTACTTGATTCTTTAATTTTTTCTTCCTTTTCTTTCCCTTTCTTTTCTTTTTTTTTCCCTCTCTGTTCTGTTTGATGTTCTTGGCTCAGTTGTAAGCACCACAATCATGGTCTTCAAATTGTGGTTGTTGGTGCAATGATCGCACGAGTGTGAGTGTGGTGTAGCTCCATTAATCGTGCTCTGTTAATCGCGATTTGTTAAGGTGGTGGTAGTGGTGCATCGTCGTTGGTGGTGGTGTTGCGCCATTGTCGGTGGATGTTGTGTTGGCGGTTGAAGATTTACTGTGGTGGCATGGTGGCTATGTCGTTGTGGTAGTGGTGCTGTGCTGGTGTCGTCGTCGTCAATTTGTTACATCGTTGATGCGGTGTTGTTAAATAAAGGGTTTCAATGAAACCCTAGCATGGAGAAGACGAAGCCTATTCTTCACAGGTCGGGTTGCCAAGGCAGGTTGGGTTATTCTCAAGTCCAGTCCAACAACATAATTCAATAGGCCCGATAAGCAAAGATCCATATCCAGATCTAACCCAATCCAGACCCAGCCCAATTAAGATCTAGCCCAGTTGAGTCAGTCCAGTCCAGATCCACTAGCACACTGATTCATCCAGCAGACCGGTTCATTCCCGATTCATCCTCGGCTCATCTCGGTTCACCTCAATCTGGTCTGGTTCAGGGTTGGTTCAAGCCCGGTTCAGCTCTTCTAGACTAGTTTGCACCGGTTCAGGCATCCAACAATCTCTCTTGGTTCGGTTCAGCCATCCAACAGTCTCCCTTGGTCCAGTTCAATCATCCAGTAGTCTTTCTTGGTCTGATTCAGACATCCAATAGCTCTCCCTAGTCCGGTTTACCCATCTAACAGCTGTCTCACATCCAGTTCACGCATCCAATCCACAGTTCAGGTCCGGTCCAGCCTACTATCACTGAAGCACAGTTCTTTCTTTTCTTTGGTTATATTGTTGATGTACTATTATGGAATCTAAGAATAAAAATGATGATTGTAAGTTTGATCTTATTCCACCTATGCCACCGAATTTTTTTCCTACGGTTCTACTTAATGGTCCCATGACATCTGTTAAACTCAATGGGACCAATTATGTTTTGTGGTCACGATTTATTAAAGTGTTTCTTAGATGTAAAGGTTTTAACAAATATTTAGTGGACACTAAACCTAAGGAAGGTAATCTTGGATATGATAAATGGGAACAAAAAGATACACAAATTATTTCATTTCTAATGAATAGTATTGAGTCTAGTATCAGTTTTACTTTGTTTTATCTCGACACGGCTAAAGAGATCTGGAATCACTTGGCCACCATGTACTTTGACACTGAGAATTTTACTCGTGCATATGAAGTATGCAAACAATATTTTCGTCTGGAGCAAGGTACTCTAAGTCTTGAGGACTATTACTCTTATGTTCGGAGAGTGTGTGAGGAGTTGAAACTATACCACCCCTTTGCTACTGATGTAGCAGTTTGGCAGAAGTAACATAAGGATTTGAATGTTGTCCGATTTTTAGTTGGTTTGAAATCTGAGTATGAGTCTTTTCGCTCTCAGATTTTGGATGGCTCTAGTCTTCCATCTTTATCGGAGGTTTTCTCCCACTTGCAGCGTGTTACCTTCTCTACCGGTTTATCCAATACAAAATCTGGTGTGCCTACTGATCGTTTAGCTCTTGTTGTCCCGAGTAGACACAGTGATAGTTCTCGAGGTGACTGCGATAATCGTGGTGGTCACAGAGGTCAGAGGGGCCGTACTTGCAGTCGTACTGAAGGTCGTGGAGGGCGGTCAGTTTCGTACATGCACTTATTGTGGTCATGGCGACCACATTATTGATTATTGCTAGGATTTACATCGCAAGCCTTCGGGAGTTGCTAACCAAGTTTCTTATCAGGATAACACCTCGATTACTACCTGTATACCTCGGTCCGCTCCACCTAATTTCGAGTCAGTTATTCTTACAAGGGAGGAGTATGTTCAGTTCTTATCTCAGCAATAGGTCATTCCATCTTCCTCCACTGCTACTTTTACCCAATCAGGTATCATTCTTACTTGCTTATTATCTTCCACTCGCGATCCCTGAATCATAGACTCTGACGCTTCTGATCACATTACTGATGCGTCTGATGTCTTTTCTACCAATTAGTCTACTCCTTCCACACACAGTGTTACTCTTGCTAATGGTACTTTTTTCAAAATTTTAGGTTTAGGAACTACTCAATTGAGTCCTAATATGTCACTATCCTTCGTGTTATTTGTTCCTCAATTTTTCTTTAGTTTACTCTCCATTAGCAAGATTACACGTTCTCTTAATTGTTCCGTAAACTTTTATCCCTCTTATTATGTATTTCAGGATCTCAAGACGAAGAGGAAGATTGGTACAACGCACGAAGCCAGTGGTCTCTATTACTTTGACTTTGATTCATCTATCAGGCTCTACAGATCTCGTCATCTCCGTTCTAATGACATTACCGTCTTGGTCATCTCTCTTCCCAGAATTTGAAGTGTCAAGTTCCTAGTTTTAGTTATGTGTCATCTGTGTCTTCTGAAGCTTGTCAACTTAGTAAGCATTACCGTGTGTCCTTTCAGTCTAGAAATAATAATTGCGTCTAATCCATTAGAGTTAGTACATTGTGATGTCTGAGATCTAATAAAGAATATTTTTTTCTAATAAATATCCTTATTTTGTATTATTTGTAGATGACTATTCTCGTGTAACCTGGTTATTTCTTATAAAACTCGTTTTGAATTATTCTCTATATTTGAAACTTTTTGTAAAAAAATAAAAACTCAGTATAGTTGTCGCATTCATATTTTTCATTTTGATAATTCTTGGGAATATGAATATAATCCCTTTTCAGCTTACCTTAGTAAAACTAACATTATTCATCAGACTTCATCTACTTGCAACTCTCAACAGAATAGCGTTGCTAAGCGTAAGAATCATCATCTATTAGAAGTCACTTGTGCTAAGTTATTCCAGATGAATATTCTCCGTTGTTTTTAGAGTGATGTTGTTCTTACTACTTTTCATCTTATTAATTGCATGTCATCGTTTGTATTAAATGGACAAAGTCCATATTCTGTCCTTTTCCCGAGTAAGCCCCTATTTTTTTAACTTCTCAGGTTTTTGGGTGTGTCATAACAAGTTTGATAAATTTGACTCTCATGCTACCAAATATGTCTTTCTAAGATACTCCCGCACACAAAAGGGATATCGCTGCTATAGTCCTTTCCTTCGTCGATACTTTACTAGTGCTGATATCACTTTTGATGAATCAATTCCTTATTTTTCGGCACTTACTCAGCCTTTGGATCTGAATTTTGGGTTGTCCCTTATACCACCATCTATTCCCTTACTATTAGATATTCTGTTGTCCACTGTACAACCGTCTACTTCTCCACTCCGTTTATATTCTCATCGTCCTCGACCATTGACTGAGGTGCCCGTATCGTATTTCTTGTCGTCTCCTGATCTTGGTTCATCAGATACCTCTGACTCTTTACCTATTACTCTTCGGAAAGACACTCGTTCGTGTGTTACTATCTTATTACTCATTTTATTTCATATGATGTCTTGTCTCCTCCTTTCTCTTGTTTTATTTCTTAACTGTTCACTATCTCTACTCCTAATTACTTACAGGATGCGTGTCTAATCTAGGTTAGAGGAAAGCTATGGAGGTGAAGATGAATGTCTTATATCATAATGGGACTTGAGATCTTGTTTCTTTACCTCCTGATAAACGGACTATAGAATGTCATTAGGTGCATATTATTAAGTTTAATTTGAATGGTTCTGTGGAGCGTCTCAAAGCCCGCCTTGTCGCCAAGGACTTTACTCAAGCCTATGGGATTAATTATGAAGAGGCTTTTTCTCCCGTTGTCAAAATCTCTTATGTTCGTATGTTAATTTCTTTGACTGCTAATTTTGATTGACCCTTGTTTCAGCTATATGTCAAGAATGCCTTCGTACATGGTGACTTGGTTGAAGAGATCTACATAGAGTAACCACTTGAGTTTACTGCTCAGGGGGAGTGCTGTAAGCATGTATGTTGATTAAAGAAATCTCTATACAGTTTAAAGCAATCACCGAGAGCATGGTTAAGTAAGTTTTCAGATGCAGGTTTAGAATTTGACCTTCTTCGATATCAAACAGATCATTCTGTGTTTCATAGACAGACGAATGTCAAATATGTTCTGTTGATGGTTTATGTAGATGATATTATAATTATTGAAAATGATTCTGAAGGAATTGTCAATTTGAAAACCTTCCTACAAAACCGATTTCATACTAAAGACTTGGAAAACTCAAATATTTCTTGGGTATTAAGGTTGCGAGATCTAAACAGGGTATTTGTTTATTCCAAAAAAAGTATATACTTGATATGCTAGAGGAAACAGGTTTGTTAGGTGATAGACTAATTGATGTTCCTATGGATCCGAATTAAAAATTGTTGATGGATTATAGTGTACTGTTTGAAAATCTGGCCCAGTATCACAGGTTGGTTGGAAAGCTCAATCATCTCACTATCATCCGACCGAATATTTTTCATGCAGTTAGTATTGTAAGTCAGTTTATGGGTTGTCCTAGAGTACTACATTAAGAAGTAGTTACTCATATTCTACGATATCTCAGACGTGCTCTTGGTCTTGGGCTGTTATATTGAGCTAATAGTCATCTTAGAGTATAAAATATTTCAAATGCTGATCGGGCAAACTCTCCTTCTGATCGAAGGTCAACCACTGGTTATTGTACTTTTTCGACCGGTAACATTGTCTCATGGAAGACTAAGAAACAAACTGTGGTAGCAAGGTCCAATGCTGAGGCTGAGCATAGAGCAATGACACATACAACCAGTGAATTGACATAGCTACTACACTTTCTCCAGAAAATTGACTTTCCAGTTCAACATCCTCTACAGTTGTTCTGTGACAATCAGACATCTATTCATATTGCTGCTAGTCCAGTATTTCTTGAGAGAACCAAACATATTGAGATTGATTGTCATTTTATTCGAGACAAGATAGTAGTTGGAGATATTATGACTCTATTTGTGAGATATGAGGATCAACTTGCGAATATGTTTACCAAAACATTAAGTCGTATATGTCTTACAACCATTTGTTCCAAGCTTAAATTACTTAATATTTATAATCCAGCTTTAGGGGGAGTGTTAGGGTATTATGTATATATTAGTTAGTTGTAATAAGTATACCACTAGAGGGTAACACGTCTTTTGTATGGTTATAAGTTAAATATAAATACAAGTGATTTGTGAGATGTAAATCAAGTTTTCGACCACTCTCTGTCTTTCTCTAATATTGTGTTAACTCTCTAAACTTAACAGAGACTATGGTTGAGCCACTTGTGCATTTGCTTTGAAAGTCTAAGTTGAGAAAGGCCCAAATGATCCACCATTAGGTTTGTGAAGTTTTATGAGAAAAATTGGTCATTCCAGATAGATAAACCTTCGCAATAAGGGTTGTAACACATACACATTTATATAAAATGATTGTGTACGTGTCAACGTGTGCATGTGTATATGCACATATAGAAGGCATTTAAAGAATAGAACATAAACTAGGGAAGATTATGTAATGGAAGTGAAGTGAAGGAAAGCCATTAGTAACTCATATTCACATGTGAGAGCTAAAGAACTAACTCTCCCAAAAATAGTAAAGAACTAATACCTCTTAGACAATAAGCAACACTTAAGTTCTGCATAAAGGGATACACCAGAAGGCGTTCCGTTGGTGTGGTGCAAAAGCCGATCAGTCGTAAGAGGTTCCTGTGAACAGCCACACTTATCATCTCAACTTCACGCTGGAATGCTGCATCCCCACCAGGACTCTCATAATCAGTCAACCGTTTCACGGCAACTTTTGTGTTGTCTGCAAGCACTCCTTTATAAACCTTTCCAAAACCTCCCTGTCCAAGGACATTTTTCTCACTGAAGTTCTCTGTAGCTAGTTGTAATTCCCTCCATGCAAATCTTTTCAACTGACCAAATGCAATTTGTCGGTCAACTTCCCCTGAGCACAAAAGAGAAAAGAAAAGTATCCATCAGCATAGTCCCAAAGGAACCAAAGTTATTCCTAATTCAAAACTTCCACTACATTCTACCAAGAAGTAGGATTATTCATGTCAAAAAAGAGAGGACAGAGATTAACACACACTCAGGAAGACAACAAAAAAAATAGTAACTTGCAATGATATCTCCGCATGCATAAGGAGTTAAGGCTGAATACATCTCACCGATCCCAGACCCCACAGTGGCAACACCCTCACGCACTGTGCTGGCCTTTTTATCATTGCCTTTTTTATATCTTGTTGTAACAAAATAATTATATTTTCAAACCAATTTCTCAAAATTATATGCAACCACGTGCATATATATACAGAGGAAGGAGAGAGAAGCGATCAATCTAGCCGTCCTAGATGCGCGTCTCGTGTAGAGTAGGCATTGACAGTACCGTGTTGTGGCATAGGAGGGCCATGTTTTTGATAACCACAGTGTTCAACCATTGTTTTAACAGTAATTTATCTTTCCCTATAACCTTCTATGGCACTTCAACCTTCCAAATTCTAATAGAAGGTTAAAAAATAGGTGAAGATGGCTAACCAATGAGCTTCTGAAAAAATGATTGACACAAAAAACAGTCCAGACGAGCCAAGAGCCCAACATCTTTTATCATGAGATAACAAATCAAGAAACTGCAAATCAATAACAGACATTAACGAACACAATGCCACTAGTAACCAACCATTCAAATGTCTAAAAATTTTGAAATTCCAATTCGAGTGGAAGGAAGAAGATTCAAACATGCAAGCAACACAAATTATGAGACCAATGAAAATGATGACTGCGACGGAACAAAGAGGAAAAACAAACCTCTCCCATCATATGTCTTTCCAAAAGTGAATTATTTCCCATTTTCCACCATCAATCAAAGAAAGATGGAAAAATAGGACAAACCATGGGACATATGTTTCCAACGGAAATGGGAGGATCCCCTTCTCACTACATAGGACTCCTACCTGTTAGACACCCTTAATCACAGAGCACCACAAAGAATCTTGCAATGAAGTGAATCTTGGTATAAACATAAAAGATGACCACAACTCCATTTTAACTAGACAACATCCAGAGTATGTATCACGAACCAAATCAATGACATCATCTTTGAGTTTTAGATTACTTTGGCCAATGTAAAATGGTTGAGAATTTTTTTGCAGATGCAAATCACACCAGTAAACTTTCCTAATCAAACTACATTTTCAGTCAGGAGTATTAATCTATCAAAGGGAACATCTGTTGATGGGTTTCTATTATTTTCCTTCTATGTAGATGTTGACAGATTAGGGGGTCAAGTTGGTTGGGCTGGCTCGGTTCATTTTCATTCCAAACCCAATGTGCTGAAAGAGGTAAGTTCTCTAAAATCCCATTCCAAAGCCGAAAAGGTAAAAAACAGAACCAAACCCTACCAACCAAAACCATTTGGCTCATTGAAGCGCAGGTTACTTGGATAAAATAACTAGGCAGACTTCCACAAGTTTGAGCCCCTGGAATTGAAAAATCCCCAACTCGGCTTAGCTCACTTTCAAGGCCTGCCTAAAGTGCTTGACCATGAAAATCTGAAGTCTAAAGATTAGAGAGGACCATTAATTTCAATGACTGCCAACATTAATTTCAATGTAAAATATATCACCATTTTAACTATAGAATTTAATGTAGAAGACCAGATTTGAATTTTCAAATCAGAATGAACCAAATACCACCAAAACTGATCCAAGCCAACCCATTGAACCCTGGTTCAGTTTTTCAGTTTATTCCTTTCGCAACATTCATGTGGTACACTGAGAAACCAAACCCCTTCGGATAAGAGTACAGCTATCCCCAAATTAGTTTTCAAAGAGGTTGTTTCAGAAAAAAATCTTTCGAAAAAAGGTAAGGTGACTTAAAACTTATGTCCTATTCATCAATTGTTAATAATTGACAATTGGTTTTAAATTCACCCCTTTGGCATCCTAAAATTGACGTTCACGTTCTACTCCATTGTTCTTAATCTTGAACTTAAACCAATGCATAGACTATATTGCTTAAATAAACATTTCTTGTTTATAGATGTGAACTCAGCCCAGACTGAGTTGCTCGGTGACCACTTTGTGACAAAAACGAAGTCTCATCAAGCCAGTGCAGAACTGTAACGACTATACTTCTCAAAGGCAAACCAAGAAGTTGCTTCTGATGGACGTGATGGGAAAAAATATGTACAGCATGAAAAAGGGATTCAAGGGGCTGCCACCGCATGCAACTAGATTAGGTAAACACCCAGTCCACCCCTACTTGCCGCTGCATGGGTGCGAGGGACCTAACACCGAGAGAATTGATGCTAGGCATGACCTCTTTTCCTATGCCAACAAGAGCAACATTTCAAAACAGTGTATTATTTAACAAGTACTATGTAACTGTAGGTAGGAAAGGAATTGAAATGCAATATAAATCATGTACTTGAAATGCACTGAGCAGATATACACCTGCAAAACTGCATGTCTCCTTATTCAGCAGACCCCAAAACATTAAGCAAATGATAAATGTTTAGCATATTCGGCAGTGTTGGCATTCAACAGTTTGATAAACTACCAGCAACACAAACCTGCAACATCTACGAAAATTTCACGCTTGTAGCCTTTATGCTTAGCCTTCCACAAGAGTAAGAACAAGCCTCCGAGAAGAAGAAGACCTAGAAGTGCGCCAACAATCCCAAATATAATTCCCGTCTTTGATTTACGCAAAGAACCTGCGGAGGTGATGTTGTTCTAGGATAGGATTAAGCTTGTCCAATAATTTAAAAATTATGGAACTGAACATATTTTCAATGTTTTTCTTTAAGGAGATACTCAACAAATATTTTATATTTTATGACAGAGTCTAGCTAATTTTAATACCTCCACTAGCAGAATCACAAGGGCGGGCAAAATTCATGCTACAATTCAAATGGTTCCCTGTAAAACTACATTTATGCAGCCAAAGTTAAATTAACCTCAATATTGGCAAACATGTGAGAAAGAAAGACTACATAGGCAGAAAATATCAAATCAATAAGCACCTTCCACTGCTTAAACCAGGAGCACATATCATTAAACTAGGAGCAAATGTCATCAAAGGGGAGAAAAAGAAAAATTTCCCATACTTGTATTTTGGAACTTGAAATAAATGCTGAGGTATTTGGCCGGTTAGACCATTAGAAGCAAGCTGCCTGCAAAAGAAGTTTCAATAATGCCATCAAAATCTGACAAAAGGTTCCCATCTTGGTAGGTTCACATAATTTCTGATTTTAGAAGCAATTGAAAAACTCAATTAAGTTACACATCAGAGGGAAAATCTTACTTGACTAAAACATATTCACATCATAAGAGATTAATGACTTACAAAGCAACCAAATTACGAAGACTTGAGAGTGTTTCAGGAATCTCCCCCGTAAGGTTGTTTTGATTCAAGAACCTGCTCACAAAATCAAGTAAATCACAGTTTTTTTAGGGCAACCATACAAAATCTATGATTAAATGGCACAAAAATACTTACAAAATACAGATACTACTACTTACAAGAATTGAAGCTTCTCAAGATTGCCAAGGGAAGATGGTATTTCTCCGGTTAAATGGTTGTTTTCCAAATCCAACATTGTCAGGCTTGTTAAATTTCCAATCTCTTTCGGTATCTCACCTGTTATGCCATTTCCTTGCAATGAACTGCAAGATTAATGCACGTTAAACGTGTCAACAAATCAGAAATGAAACATTGATATAATAGGATATAAGGGGCTNGCAATGAACTGCAAGATTAATGCACGTTAAACGTGTCAACAAATCAGAAATGAAACATTGATATAACAGGATATAAGGGGCTTCAAGTGTCTCATTTCTCAGCCATCACTCAATACAGGAAAGAGATTCTTCCATGTATGAATAGAGAAATAACTTTTAACCCAAACTAGTCAGGTGCCAGGAGTAGTCCAGTACCAATAAGGTCATGTTTACCAAATAGAAATTGTTATTACGGCTGCCATTAATATGATTTAAAATGGGTGGTTTTGTGGTGGACTTAGGATGAGGAAAGCAAGTAGCTTTATGATGCCAAGAGCTGAAAGAGTGGTTGCCAAGAAACACTGATACGGATTCAGAATATATACATCACATGACACCAGCACAGGCAAATCCTAAAAAAGTTGGACAAGGACATGGCGAGACAAGGGTACATTTTTATATTTTCACATACGTGCAAGTACACAATTCTTTATACAGCTAGACAGATACGGATTCAAAAACTGGTGACCAAGTATGTGGTTCATACAACTACTTAGTGACCAACTAGGTGTGACGCACCAAGGCCAAACGTTAACTAATAGACAAGGACTTTCATAAAGACTTCAACATTTGTTTTGACTTCAAACAAGTAATATAGATAAATAAATGAGCCTTTACATTTAGAAATACACATGGCTACCCATTGCGTCGACCTAAAGAAAAAATGACCAAAATACCCTTGACATCAAATTTCATAAAACCTGATTGAGATCATTTTAACGATAAACTAAACAACGACTAACATAATACTATGCAATCCAATATCAATTACATGACATTCCAAGTGAGTCCCAAATCTAACTCCTTAATTGCCCCCTCTCTCTCTCAATCAAATGTTGTGCATCGTGTATGTCCTATGTGGGCTAGTATCACCAGACAAGTCTTTCATTGAGATATTGTAGAATCTCTTTATCCGACAAAATATTTTTGTAAATGCATATATAGCACCCTTTAATTTCCATTTCATAACCAATTTACAAATTTGTGGGTCAATAAACCTCATCAGCTAGATGCCACCAAAAAACTCATCACCTAAGTAATAGAAAAGAATATTTGAATCAAATTTCCAACAGCATTTAACGTTTTGCACTCCCGATTTAAGAAATCAACCTATGAAGCTTTAGAAATACCATTTTAGGGTTCAAATCAATGTTAGTAGGATTGCGGATCAATTTGTTATGTGGTATTGGTACTGATATGTAGTATCATACTTTCTCAAATAAAATGCATTATGTGGGGTAAACTTAGATGGTTATTGATTCAGGTGCGTTTCGCTTTGGAACTCCTATTGGGATTGCTTCTATTCTTATACATAACCATATACTATCATATATCCATGCACACATAGTCAATTGCTCTTAATTTTACGTTTACGGTAACTTTCCCTATATATCAAATTATAAATAATTTTACATCCATACAGACAAGGCAATTAATGCTAATTTTATGTTTGTAATAATAGTTCCAGAAAGAACTAAGTTGGGGTTAGGATTACATTTTTGGTGTCAAAAATTTAAGCGACACAAATCTGGAACCCACCCCATTTGAGGTCGTCCAATCCAGATAGTGGATAATCTGATTGAGTGATTTCTGGTAAGAAGTAACACCTTTAACCATATGATGGCAACCAGACTAGTCAGCCTTGTCCATAAGTCACAAAACCAGCAGTAATTTGACATAAGTTCACTAATCTACCTAAGAAAAACAACCTTAGCCAGCTCAACTTTTGGTCACTTTCTCTTAGGATGTCATGAAAGTACTAATCAAAAATCCTTTAGTAAGCAGCTGCTAAACATTACAGCTCGCTCAATTAATTGTCATTAACACCTATGGTAAACTAAAAGGTATGGCCTCAGGCAAAGCTAGATGGGAGGAAACAAAATTCTAAGTTCAAGACCATGTATATCAACAAAAGAATGGAGAACACACAATAAAATGATAGTGTAAAAGTACTAATAAATTCACATAGAACTGTACTCAAGTGTATCAACCACCAGACTGCGAAAAGTGAGAAAATCTCAAAAACAGGCGCACTTGAGGGCAGGAACTCAACTAGAAGATCAATGCACTGTCTGTCAGAGCATCTTTGGATATTATCTCACACACTCACTTCCAAAATGAATAAGGCATGCCATAACTTAGGGATAAAATAGGACCATGACACTGAAGACGATACGTATACATGTACATATATAATGCAGATATATATCCTTCTGCACTCCCCGAACCATTAATTAAGTGCTTAAGTCGAGAGCACTGGTTTGAGGCAATTAAATGTATCCAGATCTCAGAGCTGCATAATTTAATAATTATGCATATCAAACTGTCCTACACGTACAGAGTCAAAAGAGTCTTCAGAACTCCGATTTTTGAAGACAATGTACCAGAAAATCCCATGTTGGACAATGATCTGCAAATAAGTAAGACAACCAATTATTAGGTTGGAGGGTATACAACTAAAAAGAAAAATCTGTCACTGTAAATGACACTAGCTACTATCGCAGCAATGTGCTAGCATGCATAATGGTAAGACAAAATCAAAACCAAGCCTTATGTCCCAATTATTTGGGGTCGGCTACATAATAGTAAGACAGAAAGCAAAAAATACATTGCAAAAATTACATCACAAAACTACTTACACAGTGATGACATTATTATTTGGGTCACACTGAACGTTCGACCAAGTGCATGGGTTAACTTGATTCGGATACCAATTCGAGAGCTGACTGTTTGAAGCATTTAGTGAACTCCTCAGTGAAAAGAGAGCATCTCCTAAAACAAAACCCAAGATTGTTCACATTCAATTGAAGCTATTAGCCCACCCCTAACTAATTAAATTTGAAATTAGGCTTTGGAAAAAAAAAAGCACAGGTGAACATAGAAGGTTTTTGCAAATAATTGCTAATACCTTGATTATCTACATTTAGCATCATGATGTCTAAAACATGGAATACCTTGTTCCAGAAGACAAAAGTTAGTGATCCAAGAATACTCTCATATTTGTTCCCCTTATTTTTTCTTTCAAGTTAAGAATTGAAGGAAAGGGCCACAACAAAAAGACCTCCTTAAAAGCAAATAGGCATCCTCAATGACTTAATTAGTCCACTCAAATATAATTGTTAAAAATTCATCTACTCCAAAAGCTTAAGCTACTAGAGACGATCTAACTTGAACATTTATACTTTAGCCCCTCACGTGCAGGCTAATTCTTTGGGCCTAATACGTGAAAATATTTTAATCATTAAAGTGGCGGCGAGATTCGAACACAAGACCTCCTACTCTGATACCATGTTAAACAACCATCTACTCCAAAAACTTAAATTGTTTGTAAATTAAGTATTTATACTTCAACAATAACAATTATCTGATAATAAATGGATGACTTGCACATTGTCAAAGTATTATCAATTAAATAAAGCCACTAGCATGACCAAATCTACTTATATAAGATTTTAACATTACATCGGTAGCATATGCTTTTATTCATATCCATTTTTCCATTCCTTTTCTGTTTTGAAAGAGATCTCTATAATAAAGAGCAGTTGTTCCTTAACATGAATTTTAATCACAAGTTGATAGAAACCTCTCCAAATGGAAACTCTAATAAGTCTAGATTTTAGTTTATTTTATTTTCATATCTTTCTCATTTGGCTTCGCTCTGTCCATTTGCAGTTGAGGTGGGCTATAGCCTAAAATAAATATTGCCACAAACATCAATGATTTCAGCCAAACTTATTACTCGCAAAAAAGTCAAAAGAAAAAGGGAAGACAACAAAGACAGTTCAACAATTTTTTTTGGTTTTGGAGGGGAGGGGGGCAAAGAGAGAGAGAGAACAAATTAGCAGGTTGCAATTCTAGACTGCAATTATCTACAAGAGTGAAGCCAATAGAAGTAGAGATATCAGCTCCCATCTGTATTTGTGTTTGTAAACAAATAAGAGAAATGACTACTAAACACAAAAGAGTATCCTTAAATAGAATATCCACGAACTGTTGGAGTGAAGAAGAATAATAAAAAAAATCCATACCTTGGGCATCAGGCAAGACAAAAGACTGCAAGCATGCCAATATTGCAGCTGCGAAAATCAGCTCCACCTCTAATGACATCATTCAACTGATTGGCTCAAGCTAAAACCTTATTTCAAGTGATCAATAACATAATTGGTCATCCTCTTTAATGCATGGACAAGCACAACCCTAGAAACCATTGAAACACAGAAATAACTCAGACATGAAGCTGGATAAGGAAACAATTACTAAATGGATATCATAGCAATAAATAGGACACGTCTCAGTGAGGGAGAAATGGTGTGGTAATTGTCAAGCTGACAGCCATGAGTTGTATGTTCAAACTCGAAAGCATCAATTTGTCAAAATAATGTCAAAGGTTAAGTCAGGATCAACTCTACCCTCCCAGGCCCTCCATTAATGGGAACCAAACTGGATAATAACCATTTATCAAAATCTAGGAACAAACGGATGGAAACAGGATGGTAGGTCAACATGTACTGAAGAATAGCACTTGTAGACAACCACATGTCACTGTCATGCTAGTCATCCCAATGATGGATCTGCGAAAACTCCATATTAGACTGAGTTGGTCATTACTGACTGGAACCAACTGAAAGATAACGAGGTCAGATAAGCCTTGTTCCCATTTGTTCAGACTTCAGAATTTGGGCTCCAACCCTGGACAAACCATGTTTTTTGAGGGTTTCTTGTATTAACAGTTTACCTCTCCAAAGGGGTCAGATTCAAGGTTAAAAGCACTGTTCCATTCCAAAAAAGGTGGTGAATGCAATCATTTGAGTTATAAAATCCTTCTCTTACTCTGTGCTGTTGTACTATTTCTCTAATAACCATTTCTAGCAAGGAAACATGTGTCTTATATAAATCAGCAAAAAGTGATATATCTCTTATAAGTGGGTCTGATAGATGTTTGACACTTTTCTGGAGAAATTGTTCTGTAATGAGTCGAAAATGAAAAGGCCAAAGAGGCAAGAAGATCCAAATAATATTTATTCCAAAATATAAAATGAAACATCAATGACTAAATGGCCAGTTATTGAATTTCCCCTTACCTTATGAAATCAGTAATTTTGCCAATCTAAAAGCTGAAGTTTGATTCTTTAAGTTCCTCGCTATTTGTAAATGTTCCAATCATCCTCCTTTGTTCTTATGCCCTTTCCTTTCCACCAAATTGCAGTGTATGCACAAACAGATCTATGATACACTTACTGTAAAACTTTTCTTTGCAAAGGGGGAATCAACCAGTTAGGTTTCCATTAATCAAGGATTTGGCGAGCTGTGAATTTGATACAATTTTTTATATTATTTTTTTTCATAAAGCTCACATCAAAACTTTTATTCCTCTACAGACAAAAAAAACACAAAGAACAAAAAGTGGGTCTGGAAGAAACAACAGGAAAGACAACAGCAAAACAAAAAAGCATTAAAAACTGNTATTATTTTTTTTCATAAAGCTCACATCAAAACTTTTATTCCTCTACAGACAAAAAAAAAACAAAGAACAAAAAGTGGGTCTGGAAGAAACAACAGGAAAGACAACAGCAAAACAAAAAAGCATTAAAAACTCNGATTGGCTCAAGCTAAAACCTTATTTCAAGTGATCAATAACATAATTGGTCATCCTCTTTAATGCATGGGCAAGCACAACCCTAGAAACCATTGAAACACAGAAAAAATGTTGCACATGCGTGATNCTACAACTACACCTCTTCAAATTCACCAAGACCGAACTAGCATTAATTCCATAACTTACACAGAACAATTCAAATCTCACTAAATAAAACCAACAAAAATCATGGATGCATGTAGATAGAGCTTTATCAAAAGCTCTCTAGTGACAATCATCAGTTACCCAAACATCATCACACACATATACACATACATACATAGAAAGAAGAATTCAAGAACTACTTTAACAAGGAACAAAGTTAGGGCTATGAGAAGAGTTTATTGTGGGTTGAAAACTGTACTTGCAATGAATCTGAAAAGTTGCTCTTCTTCTTTTTCTCCTTCTTTTTCTTTATTTATTGACTGTACACGTTTATAGGAAATGAAATATACGAAGCTCTCTATGCAATCATTAGGGGAGAAGTCTCCTCTAATTCTCGGCTGCTCTCTCTTTCCCTCCCTCCCTCCCAGACACTGGTAGTGTGGCCCGCTGGCGTTTTTCACGCCTGTTTTGAGAATTTTCGGAAATGAAACGGTTGTACTTTTACATTGAGACCAAAAATTAGGCACCTAAAAGGCTTTTCAAAGTTGTTTAAATTACAAAAATTCCCACCGTTTTAGATAGTTTTTCAGCCATAGCACTTATAAATTGTAATATTTACAAGAACATCTAGTATATTATCTAAAACCTAACCTCATTATACATACCTCTTTCAATCGATATCGTCTTTTCTTGATACAATCCCTCCCTACCATAGAATATTATGGCTTAGGTTGTCATTACTCATGATTTAAACTCCAAAAATTGTACTTGATGCACTAATCATTCACGTATTTAATATTTTATTATTTTAGGCAATATGAACGGTAAATAATTCTATAACTATTTTTGGTCTAAAATTCTAAGAGTCGTGAAATCTGTAATATATCGCCTAAGAGAATTAACACTTATCATCTGTTTGAGATTTTATAGTTTCACTATAAATTCATCTTAAAATCCCATCCTTAAGTTCAATTATTTCATTAAAAAAAATGTTTAAAAATATGTGCATATCATACTCATAATTACCAACGCNAATATTTTATTATTTTAGGCAATATGAACGGTAAATAATTCTATAACTATTTTTGGTGTAAAATTCTAAGAGTCGTGGAATCTGTGATATATCGCCTAAGAAAATTAACACTTATCATCCGTTTGAGATTTTATAGTTTCACTATAAATTCATCTTAAAATCTCATCCTTAAGTTCAATTATTTCATTAAAAAAAATGTTTAAAAATATGTGCATATCATACTCATAATTACCAACGCCACCGCACTCTACACAACCACCACAATCCCAATTCATATTGACTCCTCAAATCTAAACCAAAAATCATTTGTTTAAGAAAATCATTTGCTTATTATCTCTAAAAATGGAAAAAGTAAACTTCATCCTTAAAAAAAATACATCATCCTAAAATTTGCAGTCAAGGATCTTCTCAACTTTTTGTAAATGCACATGCACATTTGTATCAGTTTTTTTCCAGGCAAAGGTGGGCCTACCACATTGATGTTTTAGGTTCAGTGAATCTCAAAAGAGTAAACTTAAAGGTGGACCACCCAGTGGCGGAGTTTGACTAGACATCACTAATCCAAGTTAATGAGATATTTTGTAGATCTAATCCAAGTTAATGAGATATTTTGTAGACCCCATCAAATATTAGAATTTAGTGCTAATCCAATAATTCTATGAAGTCATATTATTATGCTAGTAAATTAGGTCAAATTTTTAAAACTAAATAACATTATTCATTTATATTATAAAACATAATAGATTTTAATAAATCCATTTTACGGTCTCAAATAAATTCATTTAACGAACACCAAGATCCCTCTTAAATTTTCACATTGCCTAAAGGCACGGGTTACCATAGCATACTATATAAGTGAGTCTCATTCTAATATGCGAATCAGTGATTCATCCTTAAAAAAAAAATTTAGACAAATATATATTATAGGGGGATCAAAATCCATTATTGCTCCATAAAAATAAAAAGGGATTTAAGTTTACATACTCTAAGAGTGAAAAATATATGGGCCTGTTTGGTTTGTGTTTCAAAAAATAGTATCTAAAAACAGTTTTTGGGAAGAGTTTTAAGAATGTAATTTTGATATTTTTTGAGATAAAAAACTTGTTTGATTAGATGGTTTCAAAAATAATTTTACAATATAGAAAATAGTAAAACATATTTAGACAGTCTAAATATATATTTGAACAGTAATTCAAACATTAATAAAAAATATAAAAAAATTATTTTTAGATTGATAATTTCATAAAAAAAAAATTCAATGAACCAAACTTTAATATATATATATATATATATATATATATATATATAAGAACATATTATATAAATATATTGTTCTCCTTATTTCTAAAATTTTCAAAGAAAACTCAGAAAATAAGTTACACTTGTTTTCTGTTTCTTTGACTCAAATTTCATTTTTTTTTTCCAAAATTTAGAGAATAAAAATGCTAAAGAAACAGGTTTTGNAGGTGGACCACCCAGTGGCGGAGTTTGACTAGACATCACTAATCCAAGTTAATGAGACATTTTGTAGCCTCTATCAAATATTGGAACTTAGTACTAATTCAATGATTCTATGAAGTCATATTATTATGCTAGTAAATTAGGTCAAATTTTTAGAACTAAATAACATTATTCATTTATATTATAAAACAGAATAGATTTTAATAAATCTATTTTATGGTCTCAAATAAATTCATCTAACGAACACCAAGATCCCTCTTAAATTTTCACATTGCCTAAGGGCACGGGTTACCATAGCATACTATATAAGTGAGTCTCATTCTTACCATAGCATACTATATAAGTGAGTCTCATTCTAATATGCGCATCAGTGATTCATCCTTAAAAAAAAAATTTAGACAAATATATATTAAGGGGGATCAAAATCCATTATTGCTCCATAAAAATAAAAAGGGATTTAAGTTTACATACTCTAAGAGTGAAAAATATATGGGCCTGTTTGGTTTGTGTTTCAAAAAATAGTATCCAAAAATAGTTTTTGGGAAGAGTTTTAAGAATGTAATTTTGATATTTTTTGAGATAAAAAACTTGTTTGGTTAGATGGTTTCAAAAATAATTTTACAATATAGAAAATAGTAAAACATATTTAGACAGTCTAAATATATATTTGAACAGTAATTCAAACATTAATAAAAAATATAAAAAAATTATTTTTAGATTGATAATTTCATAAAAAAAAAATTCAATGAACCAAACTTTAATATATATATATATATATATATATATATATATATAAGAACATATTATATAAATATATTGTTCTCCTTATTTCCAAAATTTTCAAAGAAAACTCAAAAAATAAGCTACACTTGT